ATACTATCCATATAAATTGTGCCTCCTAGATAGAGTTAATTTAATTGTGGTTAAATGAGAAGAATAAATTTATAAAATTCTGATACCGTGTTAGTTTGTACACAAACAAATCATGTCACACTCCAGCAGGACATAAGCATTAAAATAAAAGGACTGTACTTAAGACGTTTTTGTATTTCATGAATTATATTTTTGCATTTGGCCGCAGCTCTCGAATAGATTTTCATTTTGGGGAAAAGGTTTGGGCAGCCTGTATCTGAACTAACTAAAACAGTTAGACTAGTGCATCTTAAATTTAACATTAATTATTTTAATATGACACAGTCATTTCTGCATTTTTGGGGAGGTCGCCTCCTTATAAATGTCATTATGTAAAATCTAACTGCTCATTTTAAATCAATACTTTTACTTTTAATACTTAAGTACAAAACATATCAGATACATTAAGACTTTTACTCAAGTAATATTCCTAAAGGAGACTTTAACTTTTAACAAAATAATTTTTTGGTAAGATACTTGTTCTTTTACTCAAGTATCCCTTTGTAGTACTTTATACGACACTTAACTATTGTTAGGGAGCAATAAATTCAGAGTATATGTCATCAAACTAAATCTGCAACAAAACAAGWTTCCTTAAATCTTTCAACATCTCGGTAATAATAATAAAGCTTGACAGGCTAAAATAAAGACCTGTTGAAATTTCAATTCTCTCATTTTCATAATTACCTGGAAGGGTACTGGATTGCATATGAGGCAGCCAGGTAGCCCCCCAAGCTGTGACCCAGCAGGATCATGTTCTCCACCCCTACAGATTGCCTCCATTGTTCGATGGAGTTAATGAACTGCTCCTCTGCCTTGGAAGCATCGGAGGGGAAATGAGGTCTGGAACTTCTGCCAAAGCCCAACAGGTCAAAGGCGTGGACGGTCCGCGAGTGACTCAGCCCGTCCAAGTTCCTGATCCACAGTCCAACGCCTCCTCCGAAGCCGTGAACCATCACCAGGGGAGTCTTGGATGCTGGAAGTGAAAAGAAAAACAGGAATAGAATAATGCTTACTCTAGAGCAGTGATCATTCAATGGCTACCGGTGGGCCACGCCCATCCTGCAGGGGGGACGAGGTGAGGTGAAGGGGTGAGAGCGGCAGCAGATAAACGCAACTGAGTGCAGGATGAAAATGTGAAAAGGTGTCCTGCTGTTTAAGACCTCTTCATGTATTTTTATATTTTAAAGCAATCAAGAAATATCAAAGATAAGAAAAAAAAGGTACATTTTGTACCCATTTGAGACTTTATTAGTCTGACAGCCTTATGTTAATGAGCAACAAAATCTGATGAACATTAATCTTCCTCCGTCTTCTTCTTCCCTGATTGGCAATTAGGCGAAGATAAAATGTTATTCTGTATTTTAAAGGGGCAATATTATGTGTTTCTCTGGCATACATTTATATACTATACCATAATAAAGTATCTGTCACCTTTAGCTGTTATTAAAATGCTGTTTTTATGTTTAAATTGAAAATAAACTTATCTTCTCATCACTTCCTCTTCTAAACACCTTGAAATTGGCCTCTGTCTCTTTAAGAACCACCTTCAGCTTCTGTCTCGCCCATTTCAGTGCGGGGGTGGGGGGAGGCTGCTATGATGCAGTTTACTTGGCATCTGAAAATGCATCTCCTCAAAGGTATTTAGAATCTGAAAAGAGCTTAACGGAGTGAGCAGTAGTGTTAAGAGCAGCAGATAGTTTGTTTCACTTTCACTTTGCTCTGCAGGAGTCATGGGTGGGGAAGTGTGCTCCGTGATGAGGAAGTTCAGCTTAAAGACACGTCCCAGGGGCGTTTCTGGTCCCAAAAGGTGTTTCTGGTCCCCACCTGTCGTTTTGCTCCTCAGCATGGCTTCCTAAAAACGCTGCAGGATTTCTCAAACATGCATGAATGAGTCAAAGCAAGGCTTTGGACATGTTTTTTATGAGAGTATAACATTATAACATGATATAAAACATAAAAAAGTTGATTTTACATGATTTTGCCCAATTAAGGAAAATTTTGCTGCCTCTTCTTCCTAGGTGTGTGCATTAATGATGCCGAACACAAAGTCATGACACTTTGTCATCAACTTTTTATTAATTTRTTCCAAATGTTTTTTTTTCCCATATTTATAACACTTTTTAACAATTGACTTTTTTATACTTTCTCATAGTTTCTTCTCTTTTAACATTCTTGCACACACACACACACAAAAAAAGAAAAAAGAAAAAGAAAACAACCAAATCTTTTAATTAACTAAAAGGAAAAGAAAAATCATTTTTGGGGAAGCATGAAAGCATAACATGAAAGTACGAGGATGGCAGAACCTCTAGATAAATGTAGTTTTAAAAACTGCAAAATACAGCAGCTCGCTTGTTTAAGTGTTCATCAAATAAAAAGTTCATTTATGCTAAGTTAAACCCCTAAAACTAAAACAAACGTTTGACTAATGGGATTTTTTTTCTTTCACAAACATATCTGTTTATTTTTCTTTCCATCCAATCCATCCATCGTTGGTGATCCCTGCTCACATCTGTTTCTGCCATAGAGACAGAAAACATTATTTCAGAACACAGTACCTTGTGCTGCAGGGTTAGGCGCTGCCTTGTTGGTGACAGTCAGAGTCCATATTCGGTCCTGGTTTGGAAGAGTCACAAATCTGGCCCAAATGTCATTCCGTATACCTGTAATGAGCAGTGATAAAAGCATAAACTACATTTTCTAAATAAACACACTCTGTTCACACAGTCACCCAACATGATGCACCTCAACACGCTCTTACAGGCAAGTATTTTGGACTCTGTAGTCTTCAAAAGGGACATGGATGTTGGACGCCAGGAAGGCCACCAGCTCCAGAGCGAACTTGACCTATGCAGAATCAATGAAGGCATGTAAAAAATGAAGAGATAACAGATAGTTCCTGTCTTAGTCAGTACACGGCGAATGCATAGTATTAATACCTGGCTCCAGGCCGAGGTTAGAGTCAGCGTAGTCAATGTTATCATTATTTGCATGGCACACACAGGAAAGGCTACACAAGATGAGTCACATTTCAAAGCCGTCATGCTATAAGGAAAGTTTTAAACAAACACCAGTGCCAACTTAGAGTGCACATCCTCACTATTTATGACCGCTTTGTTAGTATTTTATAACCAAACGGTATATATGTCTCACCACTTTGGTTTAGTTTCCAATCTGAAACAAAAACAATGATAAAGCTGAGCAGAAATGGACTCAGTCTCCTCTCCCAGCTGTGTGAGAAGGCCCATATCTCAGGTTTCTGCCTCCACTACCAACGGGCCAGGTAAAGACTCACCTGTTCCATCAATCAGCAGTGCAGCTCAGATTTGCTGAGTCACTCAGACTTGCCTCCCTAACCTCTGCCCCTCTTCCACTCAGCCCGTTACAACAATAAAGTRTGTGCTCAAAAACACATCAATGTCTTATTGTCACTCCTGGTTATTTAGCATGACTGACTTAGAAAGTTAGATGCATATTTCTTTTCATTTCACGTTATATCCCTGATAATTGTGTAATAATGAATCATTTATAACATAGAAGTAAGCTAGACACATATAAACCATAAGTAGTGTTTTTTCCCCCCACATATAACAATTTCTTAATTATTTCAGGTACAATAACACAGCACTCCTAAAATTATATTACATATCGACATCAACTAAAGCCTTGACACATCCGTTTTATAGAAGTGTATCAATGAACAGACATCTTATGTAATATAGTCGTGTTAGRAATGAGCAAAGTTACTCACTCTGTCTCACAGTCGTTTTGCAGGGGAGCTGCTGTTGTAGTCGTATCCATTAGTTGACACATACCGGTTACTACATTCAGATAAAAAAAAATGTTGACAACTAGTTGTCCCGTGTCTGTCTTGAGTTTACATAAACCCTTTAAGCTAGTTTCCTTGTTTTGTAACCTGTGCGTCCGCTGACAATACGCAAAGATCGTCTATTAAAATGATGTACAAATTCGGAACAAAAACATAAGAGACATTAGGAGTAAACAAGAGCAGTTCAGTCTCCTTTAAGTTCTCTTTGTTTAATAATCATAATGCCATTTAACAACGTTTATGTGCATGAGACATATACTGTTTAAATGAATAAGAGAAAAGAGAACTGTAGCTTGAAAAATATAACGTAGTATATCATCTTATCTTTATTAACACATCTTTGCTCCTTGGTGGGCGATGCCAAAAGGCTCTTTTACTCCTGTAGCTACTCGGAGCATAATTTGTGTTACACCGACACCGCTTCCGGTTGGTCAGGACACGTCATTAATTCAACTGAGGAAGAGGAGCAGTGCAAATCTTAATAACATAGATATACATTGTAAGCGAAGAATCATGTCCAACTCAGTCATTTCTGTTATTTCTCGCTTTCTGGAGGAGTACAGCACCACGACGCCCACCAAGCTGAAGGTGGTGGACGCGTATCTGCTGTACATCTTGTTAACAGGAGCGTTGCAGTTCCTGTACTGTCTCCTCGTTGGAACCTTCCCATTCAACAGCTTTTTGTCAGGCTTCATCTCGTGTGTGGGTTCTTTCATTCTCGCAGGTAAAATCACGCTGTTAAATGTGTTTTTTTTTTTTTTTTTGCAGCTAAATGTTTGACACCTCACTTGAATATTTAGACTCGTGGCGTCCAACACAGTGCGTTCAGATAAAAGCTAGCTAGCTAGCTTGACTAAGCTAAGCTAAACTTAAACCAGGTTCGTGTCTAATTTCATTAGATATTCACCCACTCACATTGTTTAACATGTTTTTGAGAATTTATTTGTTTCTGTAAAATAAATATATCTCAAAAAGAGTTTTCAATTGTAATTTAAACAGGACACCAAGCTGTGTTATAGTTTCAAACTTCAATGAAGTCTTAAATTACTTTTTAAATTACTGCATA